TGCTGATTTGCACAGTTATTTTCCTTAACCTGCATGGACCTGTGAGATGAGAAAATTGGGGCACAGAGAAGTTAAGTAACTTGCTCAAGATCTCACAGCCAATAGGTGCTATTTGCTTTTCAAACATGCTCTGAACAGCTCATGAGACTGCAGAAATGGTGAATCTCCAGCCTTGCCACCTATCAGCAAATTGTTTATCAGAGCTGGGCCCCTGTTTCTCCATCTCTGATATGGACATAGCCTGGGACAGAGGATCATGAACTTCACCCAGGATGTGTCTTAACAATGCGGATGCAGGACCTCACATCAGAATTGATTTTAACAGGCTGTGGTTGTATCTGTGATATGGGAAAAACCAGAAAGGAGCCTCGGAGACCTCTGTGCCCCGGCTCACTGTGCATGCCTGCTCTGTGGTCTGACTCTCTCCCTCTCTGTGGGACTGCTTACCCACGCAGCCACCCCTGCCCTGGACAGCAGCACGGGGCTCACCTTGACCACCTTAGACACCCGCACGCGGTGAGAAGCACCTTGGAAACACCTTTCCTTTAAGAAACTGCAGATGATGTGGATGGCCTTTTTGACTTCCTTGCGGAATCGTGTGTCTGGCAGGAGATGGTCTTCTATGTACTTATCTAGGTCTGAGGCAGAGACGCTTCTGAGCGCCATGGTGCCCGGTGGAGGGGAAACAGCCTCGGAGACCTGCTGGCTCAGCCTTTATCCTTTCTGCCGAGGAGCCTGAGCTGTTGGTTTCGTTTCCTTAGCAGGAAATTTTGCATTTCTGCTTAGCAAATACATGCCCCGCCCGGAGGATTCCAGCCCCAAGTGCACCCGCCCCTCCCCCACTTCTGCAATTTCCCTGTGTCCCTGGACCAGCAGCTGGTGTTTCTTGAGACTCTGAAATGTTGTTTTGAAGCTCCCAGGCAAGAGAAATCCCGTCCACAAACCAATTTAGGGCTTCCTTCCTGGTCTTTTGTTGTTGTAAAAAAATTATTTAGCAGCCTCTCAAGATTTTTTTTTTTCTTATAGCCATGTGTACATAGGCAAGAAGGCAAGAAGACAAAAACCAGGCAGAGAGAAGATGGCTCAGGACCCCAAGCCCCCAAGCGTCCAGTGGAGAGGTTTTCAGATGTTTTTCTGTGTCACACAAACACACATGTAGTTCATTCATTCATCCATTTTTTAAATGGTATTATACTCTACTCTTCTCTCTCTCTCTCTCTCTCTCTCTCTCTCTGTACTAGGGATTGAACCCAGGGGTGCGCTATCCTTGAACCACATTCCCCAGCTCTTTTTATTTTATTTGGAGACAGGGTTTTGCTAAGTTGCCCAGTTACCTTTGAACTTGTGGTCCTCCTGTCCTGAGTGCCTCAAAAGAGAGTCAAAAGCTTCACTTGTTATGCCAGATTCCTGGGACCCCAATAGACCTCCAGGAGCCGAATCCTATGCAATCACACAAGAGTCTTTATTGCAAGCTCGAGCCTGGACTCACAACCGCTCCGTTGCAGGAGTCCCAGGGAGTGAGCCCCAGTCCTTTGTGCAGTGAGATTTTATAAGTTTTTGGGGATACTCTATGCATCACAACATCACACAGCAAATTGTTCCACACCGCGGGAAAATCAAACAACTCTTAACATTGATTAGCACATTCACTGGCGGGAACAAGTTGGGTAGGGGTGATTGGCTAGTACAAGAGGGGGATTCCTTTGAACTGATTGGTTTAGGCCATGAGGGGTGTAGGTGCTAAACTACATGGTTTCCCAACATGTTATCAACCACCATAAACTACTGGGGGGTCATCTGGCATCCCAGGTATTTTCCCTGTCTCATGCTGATTGGAGGTTGCTAGGGGGTTGCTATGGGTCCCCACCTAGCCTGAGTCAGGGACACTTGGCGCAGCAGATCTCTCCTGTTATTTACAGACAAACAACTCAGCAGGGTGGGGATGTGCTTAGGAGTGCTCTGTGGGTTTTCCCAAGGACAAGGGTCACGCCCCCTTCCTTAGGACAGGCCTTGAGGTAGAAGCTGCTGTTATGTATTTATTTTTAAAAATGGAGTCACATCAGTTTCGCACACTCTTTTCTGTTTGTTTGTTTTTTTAAATATTCCTCTGCATTTTCATCACCCGATTAAGAAATAAAATCAGACACTGTTTTATTGGCATATTATAATCGTACATAACAGTAGGTTTCATAGGTGTTTATTTGTATGTGCGTATGATAAAAATTGGTCTATTTCATTCCTCGGGATAAGGCTACCTGCTGGTGGAGGGCAATTTGCAAACGGACATGGTCAAGGTCCTCTGTTATGGAACTGTACAGGACAGTTCTACTGCCCTAGCACTCCGCCCTGCTCCATTTATTTATTTTTTTCTTTTTTCCAATCCATGCATTCAATGCTAGGTTGAAATTTCCCTCTAAGTTGTACTTTCATGTATTTTGGTAGTTGTTTTTTTTTTTTTTTCGCCATTTTCGTTTTCTTCAAAATATTCTTAAACCTCTCTTGAGACTTCTTGGCCGCATGCATCATTTAGAAATGTGCTATTGAATTTTGGAGTTTTCTGGCTCTCTTTCTTTTATTCAGTTCTCCTTCCATTTCATTGCAGTAAAAAGAAATTTTCTTTCAACTTCGTTAAGGTTTGTTTCTGGCCCAGAATGCAGTCTTTGTGGTCTACCTTGGTCAGTGTTCTACGTGGGCTTAAGAAGGATGTGGTCGGGTTTTTTTTTTTTTTTTTTTTAGTTGTAGTCGGACATAATGCGTTTATTTTATTTATTTAATTTTATGCGGTGCTGAGGATCGAACCCAGGGCCTCCCACGTCCTAGGCGAGTGCTCTGCCACTGAGCCCCAGCACCGGCCCAAGAATGTATGTTTCGGTTTTTGGCTGGAGTGTTCTATAGATGCCAAGTGGCCATGTTCTCAGCCACCCTTCTTAACCAGCTAGACAGTTACCTGGACCCACGGAGGGGTCGGTCCTGTGTGCGAAGCTCGCCTTTCTTGCCGGTTTCGGGGTGCGTTGATCATGGCAACTGTAGCTTCTAATAAAATGCAGACTTTCGCCAATTATCTAGAAGCAGATCCAACTTGAGCGTCCAAGGAAACTGTCCTTAGAAGACCAACTCCCAATTCTTTGGAAGATGTCAGAAGAGTGCCCCCCCCCACCACCACCGCATAGAGCAGGCTGCCAGCCAGATGGGAAAGTGGTGAACTATTGAGGAAATCACTAGAGAAATTCAAGGATGCCCAGGGGTGCCCTTGTTGTCCTTTGCTGGTGGCCCTGTGATCACTTCCTTTAAAGAAACAGAAACAGGAAACCCTGATGATTGTTTCTTGTGTCACTTGAGAAAGCTTTGGCAATAGCTGTGGCCAGAGGCCTGTCCTCTGGGCGGGACAGTCTTGGTTTTGGTTGCATGACTGAGGCCCATCATGCTAGGGAATCCTGACCCTCTGAGGTCCCACCCACGTAAGAGAAGGACAAGAGGTGAGTGATTTGCTGGAGGTCATGCAGCAAATGTGGACCCAACCCAAGCAAATTGCACCTCTTAGGTGACTTCCTGTTTCCATGGCCCTCCTAGGATCGTCTCACCCAGTGCACATCGGGTTGGGCTGAGGGGGCCACCTTGGAGGGTTGCAGGAGGGGAGTGTTCAATCTACGTGGCCATCGCCCAGCCAGGGCAGGGGCTGCGCTGCTTTCAACAATATCCACAAGCCCCGGGGCCCCTTTCCTCGGCTTGACCTTTGAACCCCCATGGGAGACCTGGACCTCCAGATCTCAGCAGCTTGTCCTGGCCTCTGGCTCCTGCCCAGAACAGACACCGTCTCTGCAGCTTCTGCTCCCATCTGTGCAGAGACCTTGGGATCTGCTCTCCGCCTCGCTCCTCCCCCATGTCAGTGCACCACCAAAGCCAGCCCCGGCGCCTTTCCCCATGTGAGCTCTGTGAGGGCGTGGAGCCCTAGCTCAGAACTGGCTGACTGAATGGCTTTGTCAAGCCCCCACTTGTGGCAGGGACTCTTCACAGACGACTCCATGGATGTCCCTTAGTAACTCTCTGAAGGTTCTACTCATGAGCCCATATTCCAGATGAGAAAACTGAGACTCAGAGAGGTAAAGTGACCGGGCCACAAGTGCACAGCTAGACTGTGACCAGCGGGATTTGAATGCTGGCCTGGATGAATTAAAAGGCGGGTGTGTCCTGGGTGCTTTCTGTCTACCAGGCAAACTCTCCCCATGCGTATTCTCCTTGGCCTGTTGGGAAAGGAGAGAAGCCGTTTTCGGGATGGGAATTATTTTTTTTACAACTACCCCGTGACTGACTGGCGGTGGCTGCCTGGGAGGCCGTGTTGGGAAGGAGTCAGGAAAGCAGCCCTATTGATTATTGACTTCTGCTGCCACCAGCAAGGGAAGGGTCCCTGGGGGCCCCACCTGCGGGCACCTTTGTCCCTCTGGTGGCAGCTAGCTGAACTGCAGGAGAAATTTGAAGGCAACTTTGAAGGCAGCCATTTTCAGAATCATCAGGGAGGTGGGAGTCACAGACATGAACCTGAAAATACAATCCTATACCCCGGCTTTGGGGTTTAGTGGGATCTGGGTACAGGGAGGGCAAGGGTGCTTTGAAAATAAATCCCCCAGGTGATTCCAATGTGCTCTCCAGCATGATATAAGAAAAGGAAATGATCTTGAACTTGGCCTGGGAGCTATGTTTCTGGGGCGGGGAATGGGCACCCCCTTCTGGGAAGTGACTGGCTTTCCTGGGGTCGAGGCAGGAGGGAGGGGGTGAGGACATGCCTCGCTGTTGGGCAGGCACCTGAGAAAGGTGGGGGTCGGCCAGGATACCTTGAGCCCACCTGCTCGTGCCCAGGATGACCCCACATGGGCAGGACCACATCTGCCTGCTGCACCCCGGTACCCAGGCACCCCGCCTTCCACACTGTGTGTGCACATAGTCCCAGCCTCCATGGGAAGGCAGAACTACTAGATGCCACAAAGGACAATCGAGGACAGCAGTTTTCCTGGACATTCCTACTTTATTTTTGGCTACAGCATCACAAAGAAAGGTGTGGGCGGTTGAGCATGCACCGGAACACGGGTGTGTATCGAGGCGGGAGGTGGTTACAGCTGTCCGGAGACAGGTGCGCCCGAAGGGGCCACCGGGAGCTTGCCACGTGCTGATTCTAGCCCCAACACCAGCATCAGGCTTGGGTGACAGCCAGCATGCTTTCTCCTGGGGCGAACCGTGGAAGGGAGGTGGCTGGGAGCCACGGGGCCTCACAGGGCAGGTCAAGGTCAGGAGGGAAAGGCTGCCCGGAAGCTGTTGGCCACCTGGGGAAGGTGGAGAGCTTGGTATTTAGAAAGTGGTTATTCAAAGGCAAGAAGTGGGTCCTCCAGCGAGCAGTCAGGGAGCCGGGGCTGGAGGCCTCCACGGGGAAGGTTAAAAGGTGTGGATTTGGGACGAGTTGGTCTGATGGCGTCTGTGGGGTGCTGGGCATTGCATGATCTTTATGGAGAAAGACTTAATTGAAATTGGAAAAACCAGACCTTCCCCATGGGGTGCTGAAGACTGCCAGATCCCAACCTGAAATGTACCTCTACCTCCATTCACAGAGGAGACAAAGGCCTTTGGCCTCGGGGCCTGTCCTTCTTCTTCAGCTTGATCTTTTTGTACCAGGGATAGAGCCCAGGGGCCATTTACCACTGAGCCACGTCCCCAGCCCTTTCTATTTTTGAGACAGGGTCTTGCTAAGTTGCTTAGGGCCTCACTAAGTTGCTGAGGCTGGTCTTGAACTCAGGATCCTCCTGCCTCGGCCTCCCGAGCTGCTGGGATAACAGGCGTGTGCCACTGCACCTGGCCAACCCTCTTTGAAGTGTTCTATCCATGGTGCTGTTTGATTCCCCCAGGAAACTTGAAAAAAGGAGTCCAAGAGACGGAAGAGAGATGGAAGGCTCCAGGCGGCTCTGGGTGAGAGTCAAGGCAACAGTCTGTGTGTGTGTGTGTGTGTGGGGGGGGCTGTTTGCTCATTCAACAAAGCACAGAGGAAGGAGGAAGGAGGGGCTGGGGGAGGTCCCCTTGGACCCAGAGCCCTGGTCTTCCAAGTGTCTCCCGTGCCCAGTCGGGGAGGCCAGACATCTGCACAGTCAAGGGAGGTTGCCCTGCCCCTGGGCTGTGCCAGCAGCAGTCCCAAGGCCTGAGGACATCTGGACAAGCCAGCAGGAGTGGCCCCTGGGGACCTTGAGGGGTCACCCAGCTCCTAGAGCTGGCTGGTCAGGCTGGTGGGAGGCCAGGGCGCGAGGCTGGGTTAAGATACATGGTTTAGTTTTTTGCTATATTATCCTTGGGGGCAGGGAGAAGGGGAGGGCAGGGGAGGCCGGGGGGACTTGAGGCAGGGAGAAGGCTACTGACAGGGAGTCTTATTTTTTGCTGAGGAGCAGGTCAATGAATTCCTGCCAGGGCTGCCCCGTCCCTCCCTCGGATGCTTCTGCCTGTTGTGTACCCATCTCCAGGCACCGGGTGTCCTCTGGCCATCGCGGGGGTGTGGAAGAGCCATGGGGATGCTGCCTGCTCTGCCTCCACCCCATGCTGCTCTCACACACAGACGGGACCCAGGCAAGGGACCTCATGTGCACGTGTTCAAGGCCAGGAGGGTCCACAGACAGTTCCAGACACAGGTGAACCTTTGTGGTCTACCTACGCGGGGAGGTTGTGAAGTGAACCACCTCTCTGTAAACACCTCCCCAGCCCCAGCCCTGCCACTTCATCCTTGGGACCAGAGAGGGGCTGCGTTCAGAGCCCACAGCCCAGCACTGGGTGGGGGGCAGAAGTCTTTGGCAGCAATGCCCAAGGTGAGGGGGTCCAAGGTGAGGCAGGGTCGGGGAGGGCAGGGGGAGGAGGAGGTAGGCACAGAGAAGAGAGACTGGGTGCCGGGGATGGCTGGAGGGGGACCCAGGAGAGGGGCGGGATGGGGAGGTGGGGCCAGGACCCTAATCGCTGGACACGTGGTTCTCGTTCTGAAGCTGGTGCCAGCGCTCGATCTTCTTGTCTTTGTTTTTCAGACACTCGTACCAGTGTTTCAGACGCTCTCCCTTGGCTGAGATCCCCAGCTGGCAGCCTCCTGGAGGTCAGGGAGGGCCGAGGGGGACAGGTGGTCAGGAAGCCCGAGTGTGAAGTTAGGGGGAAAACTGCCACCAAGCGGTGCCAATGCCCCCCACCCGCATGGAGCAGCCCGGAATCCATTCTCCGTGGATTTCTGTGGATATGACGTGGTCACCATCCTCGTCACTATTACCCTTGACTCTCTGTGCCTCAAGAGCCTGCAATGGCTCCCTACTACTGCCCCGCTCCTGGCCTGTTTCTCTCTTTTGAAGACTTTCTACAGATTGTCACCCTGTGCTCAGACGGTGCCCTTTGCCTGGACGTCCCTCCTTTCTCTGTCTTTAATGACTTCTCTTCCTTGTCTTTTAGAAACCCTCACCTGGACAGGCAAGCAGACTGAGGGGGGTTCCGGGGCACCTGCTTTCTGCTGTGGGTTAATTAGCCCTCTTCGCCCTGCAAGTCCCCAAGCTCTAAGGGCCCTTTCCTCTGGAGGCCATCCCAGATGGTGCCAGGGTCAGCATCCTGGGCCCCAGAGACCGGGCGGGGTTCCCTGTTCTGGGAGGAGGGACATGGGGTTTCCTCAGGAGTCGGGAGCACTCACCGATGTAGTCGTTGGACTTCCCGATGTCGTAGTCCCAGACAGAGATGTCCAGCGACTTCTTGGCCAGGTCACTGTGTTTGATGTCGTAGAAAAACTCCTGAGGACAGCAGAGGAAGATGAGAGAGGTCCCGAGCCTGCAGCAGCGAAGGGGCTGAGCTCCAAGGTTCATGGGCAGCCCTGGGGCTGGGCCGCCTGGGGCCAGGATTCCTCCCACTCTGATCCTCCCAGTAATCCCCCTTTGACCAACTCTCTGTACAACAAAGCCCTGTGATCCTCTTTCTAGTGAATTCTCGGTTCAAAATGGGAGCCTGCTGGGTTTCCTGGGCCTGCTCGGGTTTCCCCAGAAGGCAGATGACCAGGAACTCAGGTGTCCCTGCTGGTAGCTTTAGGAGGGGGGTCTTCCCCCTTCTTAGGGAGTAAGGCCGTTGGGGTGGACCAAGTGGTAGGTGTTTCTAAATAATCCCATTAAAAAATGACTCTTCTAACTAATTATAAAACTCATTCTTGTTCATTGTTAAAACATAATGGAGAAAAATAAATCCCCTGTAATCCAGCTGTCCAAGAATAACCTAGGTCACAATTTGCCCAAGCTGCTCCACATTTTTAAAAAATGACCTGATATGGAGAACACAGTGTTGTAGCATCCTTTTTGTGCTTTATGACCTACGGTAAAATCCAGTTTAGCGTGTTTGCAAATATCTTAAAAATATATTTCTACATCACCGTTTTTTTTTTTTTAATTCCCCCTTTTTCCCCTTTGAGTGTAAAAGAGTGGGATTTGTTCAAATGAGAAGAAAAAAGACCGAATTCCTGTAGGGGGAGAGGGGGACCCAATAGGGGTTTCCTGTACATCATCATTTTAATGGCCATTTGGCTATACCATAAGCTAATCCCTAATAGTTGGGTATTTCTATTAGTTCCAATTTTTCACTATCATTAATGATCATTATTTACAATGATTTCCAGGGAGTTTCGATATTTAAAGATGGAGAACAATGGGTGTTCTGAGATGCCGGATGCCATTTGTATAAGATAAGGAGGGCTGGGTCACATGTAGATTTGCTTTGGAAATATTTAACTGAACGGCCTAATTCCCCAAATCAACGGAAGTGGAAATCCTTTGTAGTTTTGACGTGTTTAGACAGGCGTCCTCCACAGCTGGCCCGGGCAGCTTCTCACCAGCAGAGTGCCCATTCCCCCAGATGCTCACAGACCTTTTAAAGTATGTCGGGCCGTGTGCTATGAGCTCTGCTGGTGGGTGGTATTGCTTTGCCTATTTCCTATTGTTCACTGGTATTTGGGTTCCTTGTTCTGTGGCTTGTTGGGATCCCAGGAGAGGGTGGCGCAGGAGGGGAGACCTGGCTCCTTATTCAACATCCACAAGCCTCGGCTGGGACATGAGGTGACCTGTTGAAAGGGCCCCGGGGGAAGGGCAGAGCGGAGGGGTCAGGATTCTCTGGGTCCTGTTCACACGGTCCCTTCCCCATGTGGACGTATCGTAGAGTCCCTTCCTGCTTGACATAGAATAAACCCCAGTGTTAGCTGGTTCTGCCCAACCTCAGATCTCACGGGTCCAGAAGGGAGAAATGAATGGGCTGATGGGCACCAGGGCAGCGGCTCTGGGCATGGGGTGGCTGAGGGGGCGGCCCGGGCTCAGAGTTGGTTCCCCGTCAGCCGAGCATTCCTTCTGTCTGTGTCTCAGGTTTGAGGTGGAAACTGCACACATAGGTTAGATTAGCGCTCAGCGCCTTTTCTGCTGTCCTCTGTCCTGTCCCTCTTTAATGTAATGGATTCTCCTGGGGCCTAGTGTCCGCCAAGCTTGTCAGCAGGTGACTGAAACCCAGAGGGACCGAGTAGGTCACAGGGAAGCACAAGACCTGGAAGCGCAGGGGACGCGCCATCTGCAGGAGGCACCAGCGGTGCACCAGGACCTCCTTGGAATTCCGTGTGACTGGAGGTGAGGGCGTGGAGGTGAGCGAGAGAGGGGTGCGTTGCCAAGCCAAGAGATTCGAGGATCCTGGTTGAGTTTGTTGAGCAACGGCAGCACGAATCCACACGTGTGTTTTACCGAGTTCACACTTATTTGCAGGGGGAGGCGAGCACAAGAGAAGGGGTCTACTGCAATAGTCCAGGCACGAGACTCCTGGGTCCGAACCAGGTGGCGGGAGGGAGAACAGAGAAGGAGTTTGACGGGCACCTAGATGGTGGTATTAGCAGAACTCGATGCCCTGGATGGATGTGGGGACGGGCAGCACCAACTGGAGTGGCTGGCCTCAGCCTCTGCAGTATACCCCCCACCCCCCGTGGTATTCCTGATCTTTGGGCCTTGGCCTGAGCCTCAATTCCCGCCAGTGACAGGGAGCTCATTCCCACGCCTGTGGCTGCTCGAGCCCATCGAGGACAACAAGCTCTGTGGATGTGCTCCACGAAATCCCAGCAGGAGTCTGTTCCTCTCACCCACAGGAAGTGCCCCAGAGCATGACCCAGGACAGGGCAGCCTCACCTCGTTAAATTCAGGATTCAAGGTTTTCTTTTTAATCTGAGTCTTGTGTTTGGCCTTCTTCCCCATGTCTGGTTTCAGCCAGCTGTAAGGGGACAGGATCGGCTGTTACAGATGACATTTAATGACCGGAGCAGCACTGTGACGGCCCCCCAGGCTCCTTCCGGCCATGGGATGAGAATGGAGGAGCAGGTCAGGAAATGAGCCACCCCTGGGGCCTGCAGGCTGCTGGGCAGGCACCAGACCCTGCACCAGGCCCCCCGCACACATGTCACCCTCACACGAGCCCCACTTGTTGTGTTCCTACTGCCCAAGGTCCAGAGAGGTTGGGACATGTGCCCTGGGTCACACAGCCGACAATTATACCCAGCCGTTGTATCTGGAGCCTGTGTTCTTAGCTGCCACTTTCTCCCAATCAAATGGGGGCGCGTGGCTGATGGTACCTGGCACTTTCACCCCTTAGGCTGCCCCTCCCCTCAAGTCCTGGTGAGATGCTAGGTGTGTGGCGGGTTGGGGAAGTGGGGGGAGACAATTCTGACCTGATGATGTCATCCCACTGCTGCTCCCTTTGACCTGGGAGGAGAGTTTAAAGCCCTCAGTAGCCTTAAGACCCTGTGTGGCTGGGTCCCTGATCTATCCCAGCCTGATCCTGCTGCACCCTGTTCTTGCTCTCCTTTCCACCTCAGGGCCTTTGTACATACTGTTTTTTCTGTCTTTAAGTCTTCCCTGGTTCAGGCACAAGGTTTGGCACATAGTAGATGCTCAGTCAATATGTTTGGGATGGACACTGCATACTTTAGGGACAATGTTTGACAAAAGTCAAATGTTCATTATCAAAATGTGTAAATAACATTCGTTGCCAATAAAGTTTTTTTTTAATCTATGCTAAAAACTTTTTTTAAAAAACTTAGACATTTAAACATAATGCTCTAAATTTTGCAGATGTCATTTGGATTCTCTCTGCCTGAGGCCATCACTAGCTGAGCTACTTTGAACATGAGTGTAAACTTACTGTTTGTGCCTCAGTTTCCTGACATGTAAAGAGAGCACACATTTCTGTCTCATTCACAGATTTAAAGATAATTTTTAGAAGAGTCACAAATAAGGAATTGAAAATTCCCCAAAGCTGAAAAAATTATAGGGCAATTCCGGCTTAAACATCCTTATTTGATTGTAAACTGCATAACGGTCTCCCATTACCTTTCCTGTGAGCTGGTTCGCTGGGGGCCCTCTGGAAGGATCAGGTTGGGAGGGGGATTGTTTGGGGGAAACCTCTGCCTGGGACTGAGACAGAATGGAGCCCAGGTCACTCCCTGTGGGGTGAGCTCCTTGTCCATCTTGGGCCTTATCCAAATCTCCCTGAGAAATCAAATTCAGCCCTGATGAGGGCTCCTGGTTAACAGAATCATCACTGGGAGAAATTCTGGAAGAAGGTTCACCGTGGCCTGTTCTTTCCCCAGGGCTCAGGGCTCACTGGGGGACAGTGGAGGTGGGAGTGTCCCCCGGTGGGAGAGAACATTAAGAAACACTCTGCCGTGAGTAAGGAAAGTGATAACCACAACAGCGGCATTTACTGAGCACCTACTATGTGCCAGACCTCACAAAAGTGCACCTCTTGGGTCCCGGAGGGCAGGTGATGAAATTGACTGACAGGTGGATGGAGCTTTGAACTGTGTTCTATCTCGTGAGTTTGCAGGGACATGTGGTGGCTCATTCCTGGAGTGTGCAGGGTCCCCTGGAGGCTTTGTGTGGACCTGCACTGCAGCCGGAAATTCTTCCTGCCTAGATTTCCTTCTTGCCCTCTCCCCTCTGCAGGGATCAGACTTGTAATCGGGGTCTGTCTTCTCTAGGGACCTCCTCTGGATGCCTCCTGGATCCCTTCACAGACATTTCCCCCATGAATCTCCTGCATATCTCATTCTTTCTTAGAGAATCTGCACTAACACACAGTGCTATTCTATTTTACAGAGGAAGACACTGAGGTTCAGAGAGGCTAAGCTACAAACCCCAGGCCACACAGCCAGAGAATACTGGAGAATTGGAGCTGAGAGTCAAACCCAGGCAGTATGAACCCAGAGCCTACCCTCTTAATTATTCCACAAAGACACATTTTGCTGCCACAGGGTAAGGCAGGATTCCATAGAGGCGCTAAACATGACTATACTTGGTGTAATTGTAATTGCTCTATATGGGTGGGCCTCTCTAATTCAGAATCTACAACGATCCAAAGTCTGAAGCTTCTTGGGGGAGAATTTCACCCCCAATTTCACGTGATCACATTTCACGTCATGTGATCGGCCTCAGTCAGAAAGCAGGTGCACTACAGATAGTCCATAAATTTGCCTCCGACTCTGTGTGGGGGAAACCTCTGCCTGTAGTGTGTATTTGAAACATAAATGAATTTTGGGTGCAGAATTGGGTGCCACACACAAGAAGTTTCGCTGAGTATGTGCAGATTTTCCCAAAGCCCCAAACATCTGGATTAACAAGATATGACCCCTGTGATCGGGGCTTTTGAGGAATAACCTACAACCTATAACCCATCTAAGGTCTTGCAGCATTTCTAGGATGAATCTGGGGGAAGCCGGGTGGGTGCTTTGGGGCTGGGGCTCTGGGCTGCAGGAGAGGGTGCGGCTGACTCCTGGGGGCTGCACATGGGGTCATTGCCACCACCTGCCACTCCTTCTCCCAGGAGGGGGCAGAACCGCCAGGCTCGCAGGGAGACCCCACCTCCCCCTGGCTCCCATCCCGTGCGCAGTTCACTGTGGGCCCGCCCCTCCCGGGCCTCGGGGTGCGAGGGTCTCAGGAAGCTCCCTGGCCCCGGGAGTCCCTTCGTGGTCCCCAGGCGCGGACTCACAGCTTGACGAACGGGTCCGAGTAGCCGTTGGCGTCCATGGCGGCCAGGTGCACACAGCGCACGATGCCCACGATGAGGCCCCCCTGCTGTGTGCTGTACATCAGGGACACCAGGATCTTGCCTCGTTCCTCAATGTCGCCAATGCGCTCCACCTGCTGCTTGGGGCGGGGAGGCAGGGTAGGCTCGTGGGCGGGGGTGGGGGGTGGGGGGTGTCCCCGAGCAGCGGGCCAGGGGCAGGGTCAGCACCACGGACAGCGGACGGACCCACCCTGATGGGCGCTGAGGCACCTGGGCCAATGGCCGGCTTTGACCCCGCCCGGGACTGAGCCCTGACTCTGAGCAGAGGCTGAGCCTGACGCTGGCCCCTCACTGGCCTTGACCCTGACCCAGGGCTGAGCTTGACCCTTGACTCTGCTCTCACCCCTCCCTGACCAAGTGCACTCCCTGGGGTCCCAGGAAGGACCTGGGTGGGAGATGGGCAGGGTCCGCCTGCTCCCGCCCACGGAGGGACCCGCTCCTGCTCTGGTCTTCCGTGAACTTGGGGGAGCAAGGCCAGGGGCATTCTGGGCGCGGGGGCTGCTCTGCTGCAGGACGGGGCTGGGGAGGAAGGGCAGAAACAGGAGCAGGGCAACCAGCACAGCGCCCCGCCGCCCTTGACGCTCACCTCTTCCTCGTAGAGCGCCATGCCGCGGGCCGACCCAGTGGTCCCTGCGCGCTTCATCTGAAAGGAAGGAGACAACATTGTCTATGGGGCTCATCTCCTGGAACCCCTCAGGCAGACCACCCGTGATATAGGTTCTATTACAGTTCTCAATTCACAGATGAAGACACTGAGGGTCAGAACACGATCAGAACATCTCACACATAAAATGTAAGATTTAATTCACTCGGATTGAGCGGCTCAGGAGACCTGGGGTCTGGCCCACCCGGTGCTTCTTCCCCTGTGACTCCTGAGCTTCTTTGGTAGACTCTCAGGCTTTGAGAAGCACAGTCTGCAAAACACTGGTTAAAATTCAACCTTAGAGATGAGGAGAGCCAGGATCAGAGGGAAGGGGTCAGCATTTAGTAGGCGCCAGTCCTCAGTGGGGCACCATGTGCGGGTTGGTGGTGGAACAGTGTCCTGGGACCGTGGCAGCCCCCACCTGTTCTGCCACCTCTGTCACAGGCCAGCTCTGTCCACCTAGCAAGAGGGAGCTGAGGGCCCCACTGGGGGCCTGCTGGGGTCCTGCCCAGCTGGACTCACTGAGTGAGGGTAAGAAGAGGAAGTCCAAAGGGCCGGGTGCTACCAGGCCAGGGCCCGCAGAGGTGGCTCACAGGGGGCTGCTCTGAATGACAGAGCTGTGCCTGGGGTTCAGTGTAAAGTGCCCCCCACAGTCTGCCTTGTGTGGGGGTCTTCCTCCTGTGCTTCAGCTATAAAAATGTGGCCTGGCTCCTAGGGAGTCCATCCCCAGGCTGGCTGTTGGGTGGAACAGGCTGCAGCACCCCGCCTGGCCCCCTGGCTCACCATGAGGAGCTGGCTGTTGCCTGGGAGGCTGGTGGCAGTGAGCTGTCGGCTCAACCCAGGATTTCTGGAGAGCAGGGTGCTGCCTCTCGAGAGCTCCGTCCATCCCAGACTCCGGGCCTGAGTTACCAACTTGGTTTGCTGAGTTCCTATTCTAGAATTCCCCATGAACTCTGGGGTGCTGCCTAATTGGGAAACCTCAATTTGATACTTGTTCTTTCTCTAAGGACAAGTGCCACCCCCAATGAGAACCATGATCCTACTCTGTATCACTGTCACGTGTAATCCTTAAAAGACCCTGTGAGGTGTGTACTACAGAGTCCCATTTAACAGGTGAGAAAACCAAGGGCCAGGGACATGGGGACTGTGCCAAGCCCTGCCTCTCTGTATGGTGTCATATGGCTTTGGGACGGGCAGGAGGGTTAGGAGCAGTGTTCCTGTGACAAAAGCTGATCATTTACGATGCTTGCTACACAGTGGGCTCTGTTCTGGGCTTTGTTTGTTTGCGTTAAACACAACCATCTTATGTCACCGCTACGATGTCCATCTCCTAGGCTCAGAATGGCTCAGTTCACCACAGAACAGGAAGGGGCAGCTGGACCTTGACCCTTGACCCCAGGGCACCTTGGGAGAAATGATGTTAACTGGGATCTGCCTGGCAGAGGGGACAGGGCCTGATGCTACCTGCAGAGAGCGCCCCCTCCTCTCCACAGAGGCCACAGCACTTGGCCCCGGTGGGTGCCCTATGGGTGCCTGGTGGGTTTGACCCCAGAACAGACCCAGGAAGGTGGCAGGCACCCCTGCCTCTGGTCCCCCATTGAATCACCAGGCCAGGGCACTCACGGGGATCACCCGCTCCAGACAAATATTGAAATTCTTCCTCTGGTTGGGCTTCAGTTTCTTGAGCGAGAATCTGGTCTCCCCAATAAACTCATTGTGGCCGAATTTGTCCTCGTCACAGACGGAGATCCTGCCATGGACATAAGGGGGTGGGGAGGAGAGAGAAGCAAGCGCTGCACTCCTACTGTGTACCGGGCTTATGGCTGATGGTGGTGAGGGACGTGGGGGTGTCTAGGGGTGAGGGTGTCCTCTGTGTGGACCCCTGGGCTGGGCACTGTTTATCTCTTCCCGATTCACGGTAACGTCCACGCGGTCAAGTGCGCCTGGTCAGCACGCACGGCCTGACCACGTGAGCCCTGCACACACTGCTCAGCTCAGGATATGGGAGGTTCCAGGGTCAGCAGCCTCTGGGACTCCCTGCCTCCTGGGTCACCCCTCTCTTGGCCTCTGGCTGCATGGAAGCCACTTGTCTTGCATTTGGCTTTCAGATAAATAGAGTCGGAGAGCGCGGGCTCCTTCCCATAGGGCTTCCTTTGCTGAGCACCATAACTGGGAGACTCAGCTGTGCACCTTCGGCCTCTGAGTCCACCAGTTCTGCACCCGTGGGTCAGCCCCACCAGGGGCGGGAAACATTTGAAAATATTTTCAGCCTGCACTGAACGTGCATAGGTGTCTTTCTTGTCATTATGCCCTGACCGGACACTGTGACCGACCACTATTTACGCGACATCCACATGGTGTTAGGTGATAAGTCACCTAGAGGTGACCTGGGATGGCCAGGAAGACCTGCAGGCCGGGATGCCTTCGCTCTGCCGCTTCAGACACAGGCCTCCTGCCTCTGCGGACCAGTGTCCACCCAGCCCTGGGACCACTCCCTGTGGACACTGCTAGAACTCGACGTTGTTTTGGTAAATGGAATAAGGAAAGAATGATGCAGGGGATTTTTAAAAGGGGGACACCCAGGAGCTGTGCCCCAAGTCTCAGTTCTGCCCGGCCTTGGTCCCCTCTCGCCTCCCCCCGCCCTGAGGTACCTGAGGGTCTTCCTCTGCATGTCCTCGTCCGTGATGCCGTGGTACACAAGGGTCTCATTCCAGACAGGGTTCCGGGTGTTCCGCAGGGTTTTTGTACGTAGCTTGTTGGACTAGAGCCCCGGAGAGATGGACAGACAGATGCCCACCTCAGTGGGAGTGGCCCTGGAGACCCATCCCGTGAGCTTTTTTGGGGGTGGGCAGTGGCTTTTCCCAAAGGAGCGTCCCAGGGCTTAGTGTTCCCAAATGCATGCTCTGAGCGTGTGGCATGTCCTCTAGACGGTGGCCACAGACACAAGTGTTAATGTTGTGCACTGCTCCCTCCTTAAGGGAAGGAAGAAGAGACGTCGTCCTTTGAGACGTCCCTGGCACCTGTCCTTTGAGAAGCCAGACATCTTTACAAGTCAGGGAGGTAGAAATGAGTCTCCCGTCCCTAGGCAGGGGACACTGGGACAATTCCCTCCATTGCCCCAAATAGTATCCTTCCTGCCTGAAATGCCTTAGAGGAGACAGAATATGAAACTTTGTTCCAAGAGAGAAGAAATGTCACTGCATCAGAAGAGGAGAAATGGTGACAAATCTAATCCACGCTGACATGTAAGTGGCTCCTATTGGATCTTCTGACAAGGCGGGTTTGGAGTTGACAAAAAAGTGTCTTCAATGGCGGGGGGAATGAGTTAGATATCATCATCCTAAGTACATGTGGGAAGTCATGAACTGTGTGAGAATACTTTGTGACCCATCAGTGACTTGAAAAATTGTGCTCTATATGTGTGACATGAAGTGAACTGCCTTCTGCCCTCGTGTATAACAAATTAGAATAAATAAATATGTAAAAGTGTGCCTTCATGGGAAGCAAAGGCTGCTGGGAGTGGGTAGAGTTTATGAGCTGGCCACGGCCAGGTGAGGGACTGTTTTTGATCCAAATAAAGGAAGAGCTGGGCGCTATGGTGCACACCTGTCATCTCAGCAGCTCAGGAGGCTGAGGCCGGAGGATTTCGAGTTCAAAGCCAGCCTCAGCAAAAAGCAAGGAGCTAAGCAACTCAGTGAGACCCTGTCTCTCAATAAAATGCAAAATAGGGCAGGGGATGTGGATCAGTGGTCAAGCCCCCTGAGTTCAATCCCCAGTACCCCCCCCCCACCAAAAAGCAAACAAACAAACAAATAAACAAACAAAAAACAACAAAGGAAGAATGAGCCAAAGTGTGCATGTGTGCACATGCATGTGCGTCCATGTCCTCTTTTGTCTTAGGGAGCACCTGAAACTTTCAGAGGTATTTAACAGGTGGGGCCCCCACCCCTCAGACACAGAATGCTGTCTGAAGGGCTTGGCACTAAAATCTGGAGAAAGTCACTCGTTTCTGTCCAGAGAGAGCCTTGGTCAGCACTGGGGAGCCATACCCCTCACGGCTTTGCACTCATGGGGCGGGGCCTAGATTGGGGGCAGATAGGGCTATTTTAGGCTCTGAGCTGAGAGCCCTGTGGCTGCCAAGGCCCAGGCTCCAGCCTGCAGAAATGCCCAGGCCAGATGGTACCTTGCTGGCTCCTGGCAGGAGGTGCAGCTTCACATAGGGATCGGCCAGGCCATTGGAATCCATGGGCTTCAGTCCCTGCAAGAGACGGAGGCAACAGAGGTGAAGACCTGGGGAGGGCTGGGGTCCAGGCGTCCTGGGCAATGGGCATGTCCCCTGGCATCTGCCCCTCCTGTCCATCTACCCTGTGTGTTCCTCTTCCAAAGAGAAAAAAGGGGAACATGGTGTCATGGGAAGAGCACAGGGATCAGGCAGACAGGGCTCCAAGGCATGTCACTCCCTAGCTGTGTGACCTTAGGCAAGTTTTGTAACCTTTCTGGGCCTCAGTTTCCTCACTGGACAGTCTCACCACTCGTTTTCAAGGAATGGGGAGATTTAAATGCAGTCCCACCTGTCAAGTGCCTGCTCCCCACCGCTTGGAAGCCTACATTAGTGCCTTTGTAGCTGTGGCCGCAGGCCCCCTGCTCCGGCTGAGGCTCCAGCTGGTCATGGGGAACCAGGCCCAGGAGGACACAGTGCTATTCTGCCTTGTCAGCTGTCAGGCCGAGCTGCGAGCTGGCATGACTTCCCAGGTGGCGCCTCCACGCCACCCCACCCAGGTGCTGAGCAGCCCTGGGCAGATCCTGGCTCCGCCCCCTAGAGGCAGCCAGAGGTAAATGCACCCCCGGTGGACCATCCCAAGGGAAGTCCCACCCCCCCCCAAGGAATCTGCTGTGGCTAATGACTGTGCTGCCCTCATCACTGTCACTGTCCCAGGTAGGTGACAACAGACAGGCCTGGCAACCCATCCCCACCTGAGTCTCCTAAGAATGCCAGAGCATCCCGGGGTCCCCCAGGCCCCTCACCCACCTTGGCCTTCACGATGGTGCACTGCAGAGAGCTGTTGTCCTGGTCATAGAGCAGGCTGAATTCCAGGGCACCCAGGGTGGCTGAAGGGGACAGAGACAGGAGCTGGGAGGACACTTGTGTATTCATTCAACAAACATCTCCCGAGCACTTTCTATGTGCCCGGGTGGGGCTGGCCATGGAGACGACAGGGGGAGGAGGACACCGGCCCTGCTCTGGTCGCTCCCTCTGGCCGACCCCCCTCTTCACAGCCTCCTGGGTCAGTTAATTGTTTGTGCACTTGTTTAGTTAACGACTCCCCATCCTGCTGGATCGAGAGCCCCAGGAGGGCAAGGGTGGGCACTGTCTTGCTGACAGCTGGGTCCCCACTGTGCACGGTGAAGGACACACAGTAGGCCTCTCTTACTGGATGAAGGAACGAATGAGTTTGAGCCTTTGCCCTTCCCATTGCCTGGAATGCTCCCCCTCCACATCCTCACATGGCTCACACTGTCTCACAGAGAGGCCCCCCTGACCCCTCTGTGTGCCGCGGCCACCCTGGCCATCACGCCACTTCTTATCCCCTGCTCCATGCTCTGTCTCCGTTTGCAGTGAGCTCGATTTGTTAACAATCCCTGCACTAGAGTGTTGGCTCCGGCGGGTCTGCCAGCTCGTCTGCCCATCATTCCAGCCGAGTTGTCCCCAGTTCTCCAGCAGTTCGAGGCGCCTGGCACGGGCTCATTGAATGTTTGTCAAACATAAAGACATGAGGGGCGAGTGCCGGGTTGTGTCTGAGGACAGGCTTGTCACCAGCCACATGGGCTTATGGAGAGGGCAGACAAGAGGCTGGGAGGGTTCCCCTATTGCTGGAGGGCTGGGGGACGTTCAGACACTGGGGGGCAGAGGTCCCGTCCAGGACAAGGAGCAGGACAGGGCAAGGCAGGCAGATGGCTTCTACCCGCCCGGAGAGGAAACAGCCCGTGGCAGCAAGGCCAAGGGGAGCCTAAGACCCCTGACCCAGGGGAGAGCACGGAGATCATGGGGACAGCTGACGCTCACTCAGCCTGGCCTCTGACCTGTGTGAGCTCCGACAAGTCCCTAAGCCTCTCGGAGCCTCGCCCAGGCCATCTACAAGATGGGGCAATAGCAGGAGTTTCCCAGGTTCCCAGGAGGATGAGGTGAGCACAGGTGCCCGGCACACCTGGGCGGGGGGTGCAGAAGCAGCAAGTGTGACTGTCCAGTCCCCTGATGTCCAGATCACATCATAGTGACTCTTCTGTGTTTAGCACTTAGGGGGAGGATGGAGCCAGTCACGAAGCCCCTCCCAGGAGGGACCTCAGCTGACCACCCGTGCAGGAGGTGCCCTCTGTGCAATGAGGCGAGTTGGCCCGGAGGACCGAGGCCGAGCTGCTGGCCGCTGGGTGGGTCAGCTCCAGAGGGCTCTTGGAGCACCCATGGGACCCAGATGCTGCTAACCCTGCCTCCCCAGCTCTCCCGGCTGCACCCAGGAGAAGACTGTGCCCCCACGCGTCCCTGGGCCTCGGGGTCTGGGAGGGGCCAGATGCACAGAAGCCGGGGAAGGTGAAATGCTGGTTAGAAGTCCTGCCAGAGGACACCGTCAGGCAGTTTTTCCAACTGTAGACGGGCACACCCAGGATGGGGCTCGCTGGCCTGTGACAGCTCTGTCTGACTGAGGGAGAGGACACCCGCACGGCTCCTACCTTGCTGTCTTAAAATGACCACGGTAACTTTGATGTCGTGTGTGTTTTACCAGAAAACTGGGCATTTATCTTTAGGAAGCTGATCTCATTTGGGGAACTTGGAAACACAGATTTGTATTTTTCTAACTCAAACATGTACGAGGGCTGGGTGGATGGGCGGACCCAGGGCGGGCCCTGACTTCCTGGGGTCAGCTCCTGGGGTGGCTTCTCCTAGACACTGCTTCTCAGGTGCCACCTACTTGCTTCATCAGAATCGTAGCTGTTGGCATCCTCTTCCTCCTCCGGGGGTGGCTGGCGGGCGGGGGCGTGGGCAGGCTGGGGCGCAGCTGCAGCTGCTTGGGAATAAGGGCCCCCAACTCCCCCTGTTCTCTCTTCCCGGGCTGGGGCCGTGGTTCCCGTATAGCCAGGGTCGCTGGGAGCCACTTCTGTAGGGACATGAGAGAGGACACATGAATCCCTGTTTTATACTAACAGTATTTAAGGAAGCTTAAGGGGCCTGCAGGTTCCCAGGCCATCCGTGGGCCGTGCATTGGGGCATGGGAACCTGTGTTGGACAGCAAACCCCTGGAGGCGATTCACACATGGGCAAAACAGACCTCTCAGGGTGCTGAGCAGTGGTGTGGACCCCAGACAGACAGCTTGGGTTTGTATTGTGGCTGTGTGACCTCAGGTGAGTTACTTAATGTCTCTGAGCCTCAGGTTTCTCATCTGTAGAATGGAAATCATACCTGAGTGTACTGTAATAGTAGTGGGTATTATTTTACACAATGCCCTAATTGCACAGCACTGAAATAGTACCTGGCACATTAGAAAGCAATGGCTACGTGGTGGCCGTGAGGGTTGATGATGGATGGCCACGCTATGGATCCTACACAGGGATCACTGCTGCTTACTGGGGGCTTAACACACACTGGGCTCTGTACTAAGGTTTTTTTATTCATTAGTTTGCTTCACCCTCCTAACAACCCGGCTGATAGATAAGAAAACTGAGGTTCAGGGAAGTTCAGTGACTTGTCCTAGGTCACACAGTGAGAAAGTAAGGGAACAGGGATTTGAGACCTGACCATCTGTGCTCTGAACCCCATTCTGTGTTGGCATTGCCTGTCTATCGAATCAGCATGGATGACTTGGAGGGTTAGCATCAGGGGCTGCTTGGACCCCATCAGATAGTCTCAGAATGCAGGCTGAGCCCGTGGTGGGTACTGATTTCACCAGGGCAGTAAGCGGAGGTGGCCAGGTGGGTGGTGACGGAGAGGCGGGCACTTGGGAGGGAGCAAACACTTGCCTGGTCTCTGCTCTGGAAAGCGCCCTGCTGGCCCTGGCGCGGGTCTGCTGCCCCCTGGGGACCCTGAGGGGGGAGGAGAGAAGGGGTATAGCAGAGGGGCCATGTCACTTAGGCGCCTCCTCCTCCGCCCCCCCTCCACCCCCCCTCCACCCCCTCCTCTGCCCCTCCCCTCCTCCTCTGCCCCGCCTCCTCCTCCTGTGCCCCACCCCTCCCCCTCTGACCCGCCCCTCCTCTGCCCCACCCTTTCTCCTCTGCCCCACCCCTTCTCCTCTGCCCCACCCCTTCTCTGTCCCGCCCCTCCTCCTCCTCTGCCCCGCCCCTCCCCTTTGCCCCGCCCCCTCTTCCTCTGCCCCACGCCTTCTCCTCTACCCCGCCACCTCCTCCTCCTCTGCCCCACCCCTCCTCCTCTGCCCCGCCCCTTCTCTGCTTTACCATCTCCTCCTCCTCCTCTGCCCCACCCTTTCTCCTATGCCCCACCTCCTCCTCCTCTGCCCCGCCCCTCCTCCTATGCTCCTCCTCCCCCTCAGCACCTCCCCTTCTCTGCTTCACCACCTCCTCCTCTTTCTCCTCTGCCCTGCCCAGCATCTGCGCCTAGAGGATGACTCCTCTTAGGCGTCTCAGAAGATCTTAGGTTCAGTGAAGGCTGCATTGAAGAAAGCCCCGCAGCTCTGTAAGAAGGAGGGAGGGATGGGGTCGCTAAGGAGTGATGGCCTGGACAGGTGGGTGGGTGAGTGGCAGGTACCTGGCTGTCCAGGCTGAGGAGGTGCTGGGCTGGGCACCGAGGCGGGGGCGGGTCTCGAGGCCTGGACAGAGTTGGCTCGTCTCAAACCTGCAGGGGAGGGAAGGAAACAGCCGTCAGGACTCACAGGCGCACACCTGCGCAAGCGCATGCACACACTCGTGCGCACTGTAGGCAGGAGCTCGGTCTCTGATGAAGCAGCCCTCCACCCCCAGCTCTCCCCGCCCTTGCCCGGGCCCCCTGGGTGTTTTCTCTTTCCAACACTGAGCCCCTGCAGGTGAAGCCCAGCTGCAGCATGGGTGTTAAAAGGCACAAGTTTGTGATTATGTTTCTGCTGGTGACTTGACACAAGTGACCTGTTCTCTTGGGCCTCAACTTTGTCATCTGTGGAATGGGGATTACAGCCCCCACTACATGGGGCTGTGATGAGAGCACAAAGATCCAATCCAGGCACAGTGCTAGAAGGGATGCTTGGCCCACAGGCTGTGCTCAACGGGTGTCAGTCAATATTATTTCATTATTATTGAAATACTGCCATTACGTGGACCTGCTTTCGCATTCCAGCCTTTACCTTTATAAGCTGTGTGACCCTGGGCTCCTTGCTCAGCCTCTCTGAACCTATGCCTCATAGAATTGACAGCTCTACTGACCTTACAGTAATCACAAATTAATATTTACTCACTGTATACCATGTGCCAGGGACTTTACATATGAGCATTCAGTTAATCTCTACACTAATAATCCCATGAGGCAAGTGCTCTGTGGTCACCATTATACAGGTGGGAAAACTGAGGCACAGTGGGATAAGGAGCTCATCCAATGTCTCATGGCTGGTTAGCAGCAGTGCCAGGGTTTGAACTCGGGCAGCTGGTGTTGAGTCTGTGTCTGAGACTCTTGGATGAGGCTGGCAGGGGTCTGTGAGAAGCAGGTCCTGGCTCCAGCATGTGCTACATTTCGGGAAGAAATCCCCAGACTCTTATCTTACTGTTTGGATCATATCTTTCCTGAATTCAGATCAGCTCTTTTTTTCTGGACAGATGCTCATGACAGAGGGCACCTTGTTAGTGCTGCCAAGCCTTACAAACCCCCAAGTCTTGTCCTGCATCCTACATTAGCACCGCTGTTTGTTTTGCTCCTTTGCATTCTTGTATTTATTCATTTGTGCATCAGCAAATGTTCATTGAACATCCACAGAGTGCCCATCCCTCTGCAGGGATGGGCAGCAGAGGTAATAGATGCCATCTGTTACCTCCAGGAGGGTGCAGCCTGGTCAAGGAAGGAGATGGACACTGAGTCCATGAGAAAAATAGCAACCAGAATTCTCTGGGGGCTTCCAGTATACCAGACCCTGAGCTGCTCAATGCTGCATGTGGCACTAGGGTCCCCAATCTGCAATTGAGGACCTTTCTTTCTGTGTTTTAACTTTGCATCCTGTGGGCTGACAATATTCACTCACTAGTTCTGATTGTCACTATAGGTTCCTTTAGGAGTGTCTCATGCGATCTGTGATAGAAACTGTTTTGCTTCTTCCTTTATAAACTTTCTGCCTCATATTTTTTCCTGTCTTATTGCGATGGCTGAGATCGCCAGTGCAGTGTTGAATAGGAAGGGTTGAGAAGGGAAGATGGCAATAGTAAGGAAGCTGATCTCACAAGGTTGTTGTGAGGACTCAATGAACATGACAAGGGCTTACTTGGGTGTCTGGCTTTTGGAATGCTACATAAATGTTTGCCATCATTAGAACAGTAGGTGCTCAATAAATGTTGGGTGGACGAATTAATATTTTGTAAATTACTGGTTATTCAGTTGGAAGTGAGGGCAGAAGGATAACCTTACAGTGGAAGAAGAAACTTGAGAATTTTATTCTGGAGTCACAGAAGAGAAAAACAGCAGTCTGGGACAGAAAGAGAACAATTGGCTGTGTGCAACGGGGAAGCCATTTGGCTCTAGTACAAGGTAACACTGTTTCTCAAGTTCAACCTCTTTTTTTCTTGGCATAGGAAGCCCTGCATGGACTGGCTCTGGGATATCTCCAAGGGAGGGCTGTGGTGTAGAGTAGTTCGGGTTGTGCACTGTCCAATTTTAGGAGGGGCACCTCTATCACCACTCCATATTACGGACTCCTGGACCACTGTTAGCCTGGCCATGCATTGACTCTGGACCTTTGCACATGCTGTTCCTCTACCTGGAATGTATTACCCCACCCACCCCCACCACACACACACACGCTGAATGTGCTGTACCTAGTTTATTTATTTTCCTGATATAGTTCTCCCTTAGAAGCCACCTTCTCTGTGAAGTCTTTCTGGGACTCCAAAAATAGATGTTCTGGGTTCCCAGGTCCCTCTCAATGTCCTCTTGGGGGCTTCCTCTGGAAATGCATATACAGAACTTGGTGCCTGGCACACCTTGAACACTCAATAAATGTGAGTGATAACCCATCCTCCTTGGTCTTGGCACCTCTATTATGGCGGTTATAAATCTCTCTTGCTATTTCTGGGTTATGTTGCTTTTCCTTCTGCTGGAGTGTGAGCTCCTAAGGTTGGGACAAGGTCTGCATGATACCTTTATCTCCATCACTTAATACCAGGCTTGGAGTATAGTAGGTGCTTACTAAATAGTTGTGGAGCCTGGCATGGTGGCGCACCCCTGAAATCTCAGTGGCTCCAGAGGCTGAGGCAGGAGGATCTCGAGTTCAAAGCCAGCCTCAGCAACAATGAGGCCCTAAGCCACTCAGTGAGACCCTGTCTCTAAATAAAATACAAAATAGGGCTGGGATGTGGCTCAGTGGTCGAGTGCTCCTGAGTTCAATCCATGGTACCCAAATAAATAAATAAGTACTCGTGGAATGAGCCATGTTTTATGACAGGGGCTCTTTAGGAGATCCCGTTATGGAGAGTATAGCAGAAGAGCATCAAGTCCCTCTCAGAGAACCACTGGAGGGGTTTCCACACTGTGTCAAGGGTGGATCCTGAGACTCCAGGGTTAAGCTCTGGAACAAAAGAGTCTCACTGGCAATTTGTTCCCTGGAGCTACTCTCAACCCCGCCAGCCAGTGGGAGCTACAGAGCAGCTAACGGCAGAGGCTCTGCACGGGAACTGCTTGGGTTCTGATACCAGACAGGCCATGACTTTTATGTGACTCTGGGCAAGGTTTCTTTATTAGCCCCTTTTCCATATCAGTTAGGTGAGGGTGACTGGTACCGTTGACAGGGCTAAACACCTGCAGAGTTTGATCACATGCCTGGTGCAGGGTCGGTGCTCAGGACACTTGAGTTGTGATACTAACTGTGCATTCAAGTCTGCAAATCTTGAACAGCCTACAATCTACCGGAAATCTTAGTGCAGCTAGAAAACAAGGAGAAAGAGCTCAAATCGTAGTTGTGCTCAATAAATATTTGCAAACTTGAGTTAATGGAGAGAGACACACGTTGGTGTGAATCGGACCAGGGAGAGAGACAATGGCTAGTGCTGCCTCCCGGCCCGTCTCTGGGAATTCAGGGCAGGGAGTGGTTAGCTCAGCTACAGGTGGAGCAGGAGGAATCCCAAAGCTCCATCCACCCAGGGGACATTACATTGACTCCTGAGGGACAGGAGCTCTAAGTCCGGCTTAGGATTGTCCTGGGAGTGTCTGTAGCCCCAGGAGGCAAAATGATATAGAGATTAAAAGCATAGGATTGGATATACAAAAATTAGATCAAAATGGACCAGAGACTCAAATGCAAAAGCTAAAATTCTAAAATTCTTAGAAGAAAACACAAGGGGAATCTCCATCACTGTGATTTCTTCACTATGACACTAAAACTACAGGAAGCAGAAGAAAAAGTAGATAGATTGGACTTCGTTAAAAAACAACAAACAATCTTCTGTGCATCAAATGGAAAGTGAATAAGCAACCCGTGGAATGGGTGAAGGTATTTACAAATTGTGTATCTGATGAGGCATCAATATCCAGAATCCACGAAGAGCTCCTACAACACAACAGCCCCCACCCCCTGACTTAGAAAATGGGCCAAAGACCGAAATAGACGTTTCTCAGAAGGAGACATACAGAGGGCCGATGAGCACATGAAAAGACGTGTCTTGTCACTCATCTTAGGGAAATGCAAACCAAATCTACAATACCTCAAGGAGCCCTTCACACTCTAGGATGGCTACTATTTAACAACCAGACAAAACAACAAAGAGAAACCAAGAAAAACCAGAAAATCACAAGCGTCAGAGAGAATGTACTGAAACTGAGACCCTGTGCACTATTGGAAGAAATGCAAAAGTAGTGCAGACACTGTGGAGAATAGCACAGCGGGTCCTCAAAAAATTAAACATAGAATTGTCATTAGATGTGGCAATTCTACTTGTAGGTATAACCCCAAGAGACTCAAACAGGTATTTGTATGCCGTGCTCAGCAGCACTATTCACAACCACAATGCCCCACTGACGGATGGATGGATAAATAAAATATGGCATATCCATGCAACAGAATATTACACAACCTTGAAAAGGAAGGGAATCCAGATACATGTTACAACTTGGGTAAGCCGTGAATATATTACAGTAAGTGAAATAAGCTACATACAAAAAGACAGATACTGTATGATTCCACTTACATGTGGTATCTAGAATAGTCAAATTCCTAGAAAGAAGAGTCATGGTCACCAGGGACAGAGAATGGGCAAAATGAGAAGCTGCTGTTGAATGGACACAAAATTTGAGTTTGGAATGATGAAGAAGCTCTGGAGATGGATGGTGGTGATGGTTGCACCACAGTGTACTTTCTGTCACTGAACTGTGCATCAAAAAAAAAAATTTGAAATAGCAAATGATACTTCTAATGAAACACAGAATTTTAACACATTTTACAAAAATATAGAAGACATAGAATAGAAATTTCACCTCTGGCAAAAAAAAAAAAGACAAGCTTTTGTGATAAGATGTGGGTTGAATTGTCATTTTAACCAGTCATGGGTAATGTACCCCAGGGAATGTGGTGGCTTCACCACCTGTAAGATGGGAATCGTGACATCTCACAGCTGGATCTGGGGTGTGGCAAGGGTTAACTGGGATGGTTTGTGGGAAGTGCCTGGGATGGCATCAAGGACACAGTATGCACCCAGTAAGCATTTTGGGATGTTGTGGATCTAGAAATTCATTTTTCTCTGTCCATCTGAACCACAGGTTCATGGAGGGGTCTGGGAAGCTGATGGCATGTGCCCAATTTTGTCACCAAGAAGAAGGGGGCACTGAAGTGCTATGCCATGAGCCCCAATTTGGAAAGTAAAGACCCAAACTCAACATGGGACCTCAACATTCAGCCTGTCTGACTTAGACCTGGGCTCAGCCGAGGTCTCAGACAGGTGCATATGGAACATAGATGTCCCCAACCTATTTGGCATTTTCTTTAAAATCTAGGGTCAGAGGACTCTCCCCAGTGGGCACCCTTGCTGTGTAAATCTGCCCCTGGTGGGCCCAGAGGTACCAGGCTAGACGACAGCATCTGTGATGACAACCTGGTCCTGCTGACCCACCCCATCCTCACAGAGAGCAGAGGCCACGTGCCCAGGGAAGGGAGAGCTTGGGAGGGTCTTGAGAGTGAAGCATCTTTACTTTTCTCAAAGCCAAGGGGTATTTTCCCTCAGGTATTTTTTTTAAAAAACAAGGCAAAAGGAACTGGGGATATGGCTCAATTGGTAGAGTACTTGCCTCCCATGCACAAGACCCTGGGTTCAATCCCCAGCAAAGCACCACACACACACAAAAAGGCAAAAAATCATGTTTTTCTTACATATGATGATAGGGTAAGAAATGGACACAATCAAAATCATGAATGTCCAGAACCTGAATTGGTCATGATCCTGTGTTTCCTCCAGCATAGACTAGAACCAGCATTTAGAAGAGTCCATGGTGCATAGTAGGTACTTAATAAACACAGCATGAAAAAATGAAGAGAACACACTGTCCTCTGCATTCTTTCCAATTCTCCTCTTTCAGGGGCGTAACTGGGTTTCCCCATCTTGCTTACCCGCTGGGCTGTGGCTGGCGTCTCCAGCTCCCCCACCTTGACCATGGTCCCAGCTCTCTGGATCCCGGGTAGATGAGCTCATGCGGGCCTCGGAGGCCCTGCGCACAGGAGGCCCATAGCTTCCTCTCCCTGGAGCCGATGCTGGGTCAGGTCCTGGAAGGAAAAGCATTGAATAGATAAAGGGCAAAGAGGAACGGGGTAAAAGGACTCCTGTCCAAAACTGCAAGGCAGGCGGCAGAACCCACCTGTTTTGGGACCCGGGCCCCTCCTGTCTTCAGTGTCAGCTGGAGGGAGAGAAACAATAGGGAGCGTGATTTTCTGGTGTCTGGAGAGTGATAACTGAAGAAGCCCTCAAAGGGGTTCGTTCACCTCTCCCAGGACATGGAAAAACTCTAAAACGTCTCCTTCTGGTTTCCCCTCTGATCTAGTTCCTCTTTACCATGTGATATTGTTTCCTTGGCACATGCGAACACACACAAACACACAGAGAGGCTTAAAAAAGAACAGCCCGGCTGCACAATCTGGCAGCCCAGAGGGAGCAGGGCTTGCTCTGCCAACAGGGTGACCCAGTGGTGGAGACTGGGCTGCAGCCTCTGCTGAACTCGGCAATTCCTGTAGGCAGTGGAAGTCGCTCGTGCCTTGCCAGGAAGAAAGCATTTGCCGAACGTCTTTTGGGTGCCGAGCACTGAGCAGGTACCTTAGGAGGCCGTCCCGTGGGAGACACGGGTGGATGCTGTAATTTTTGAGACCTTCAATTAGGACGGTCCTTCCAGAAACTCGGCTGCGCTCCTCCCCGGAGCGGCCATTAGGGCCAGATTTTATCACTTGGTGTTAATTGAAATTATTGCGAGGGCCTTGTTGGGGCAGCCTGAGTGGCCTAATCCAATTAAGATAAGTGTGTTTTTATTGAGGCTGCCTTTTTCTGGATTCTTTTAGTCTTCACTTTAATATTTAATAATAATAATACTCGGATCAGCGCGATACCATCAATAGTAGTGATAATTTTCTTTTACTAATTTCCTTTCTATTCATCTTTCACTTTTAATTTGTCCAATTTCACATTTGCTTAGGGCTGAGAGAAGGAATGGGAAGGGCCAGAAAGGCCTTCCCAGCAACACCCCCACCCCCATCCCCATCTCCACCCCCACCCCCACCCCAGGGCTCCAGTGTGTCTCTCTCAATTCCTAATTTTAACTTCCCCTTCTTTGATACCTCTACACATCCCACCAGGAACAGGAACGATAGCAAAGATTTTTGGCAGCCTGGCTTCTCTGGAGAGTTCCCTGAGCTGCCACCAATCCAGTGGAAACCAGCCCACTGCAGGGACAGCTCCAGGTAGACCAGTTGGCCGGGAGCTGTCGATGGTGCTAAAAGAGCCCCTTGTCCTACCTCGGGCTGGCACGCGGGCCGTGTGCTTGGGCTCAGGGGGCTGCTCTGGGGCAGCAGGCTCACTCGTGGGCGGCTGGGGCTTGTTCTTCTTTATGGGCATGGGCTGTGGGAGGAGCTGCTTGGGGAAACCCTTGAAGAACCAGGCTCCAGAGCGCTTCCACACCTGGGGAGGGAGGAGGAGCTGTGGCCACCACTCTCGCCTTCATGAACCAATTTCAAGATTTTTTTGCTCTTGGTTCACGGCACGTGGACACAATGGCAGTCACATTTATTGACTCCACATGCCAGCCCTGAAAACTCAATCCGAAGGGTCTGATGAGACCCATTTCACAGATGGGGAAATGTAAGGTCAGAAATGTTATGGGTGTCCTGACAGTGCAGAGCCTGGGAGTGGAAAGGCGAGGGCTTGGCGTCAAGCCGTCCATCTCTTGGATGGGGCATGTTCTCTACTGCATTCCTGGGAGAGAGGGTGATCTGCCCATAGCTGTCCCAAGACCTCTGGCCTTTGTCCTGCCCTGTGGGTTAGGGCCAGGCAGGACAGTGTGCTGAACATCTCATGTCGATCCTTTTCCACCCAACTTTGTGCCCCAGAGGGCTGCCCAGTGCGGACAGGAGTAAGTGGGCTTCGGTGACCTCTGTCTTCAGCAGGAGTTGGCAGGACATTTAGGCCATGCTATGTGTTTCTTTGGTTCCCTCCCTGCTGGCTGGGCAGTGGTTGGTTCCTGTCTTCCAGTCTGCCAACTGCTCCCTCCCTAGCCGGTCGGTCCCAGGAGTGGTCACAGCAGGCCTGTGTTGCACAGGACACTTCCCTGCCACCGACTCCCCTCCACCCTGCCCTGCTCCGTGGAAAGGGCATCTTTATGGAACTCTCCTCGATTGCCCTGCTGGAGAGTGCCCACTGCATCCTGCCAGGCCCCTGGCTGCTACTGATGGGGACATGGTCATTGGGACAGTCTCAGAGGCAAGGCTCTGTAGCAGGGGGTGAGCGGAGAAGAAACTGTGGGGAGGAGAAAGCATTGCATTGAGATAAAATGAATAATAAAAAGCAGGTCTGGGAGGAAGAGAGAGAGAGAGAGAGAGAGAGAGAGAGAGAGAGAGAGAGAGAGAGAGAGAACGCGAGAGCGCAAAGGGAGAGACGGCAGAGGGAAGAAACCATGGACACAGGACCAGGAGGAGAAATGCCTCAAATGAAGGGGAGACTTGGAGGAAAGAAAAATGGAGAAGAGACTTAGGAAAGAAGGAAAGAGAAACAGCAGATGTTGGAAGAGGAAAACCCAGAATGCGAGAGACAGATGAGGGCAGAATGGCAACCAGAAGGCTGAGGATGGAGAGGGGAGGTGGGGAGGGAAGGCAAAGTCTCAAGCACAGGTGAGGAGACAAGAAGTTCATCCAACCACCCAGAGGCCGTCCTGCCAGTTCACAGCTGGCCGAGCTGATCCCCTTCAAAGTTAAGGCCCAAGACCCACCCAGAACGCCCGGCCTCCAGCCCTCCAGTCTCCCTGATCCCAGGGAGGAGAAGGGGGCCGGCAAAGGGGAGGGGCCACTCACCTCTCTCTGCTCCATGCAGATCTTACAGAGCCACACGGGGTGCGGGCGGTTGTTGGAGGTCTCCACCCCACACTTGGTGCAGACGTTCTGGGGACAAAAGAGCCCAACCAGCACTCAGGGGAGCCATGCCCTGAGCTACTGGGGATGGAGAAGGGTCTGGGAGGGGCGGAGATCTAGAACTCTCCTTCCTTCGCACCCTTTCTTCCATGGTCAAGGTCCATTAGAATCAAGTTCCAATTTGAGTCTTATTTCCAATAATGAGCACTGGAGTCATTCCCAAGCCCTGGAGGAAGGAATTCTCCAGGGGTCCATTAGGGACAGTTTTCAGTAACTATGCAGCATTGACATGATTTTTAAGAGGAAAGACCATACACCCATTTTCTTCTTTCTTCCCTCAAAGGATCCAGGGCAACCTTGGCAATGACCAGTTCAACTCTCCATGGAGAAGGAGGCTACCTGACTACAGGCCATGTCTGTGGGTTGAATTTCTTGACAGCCAAACAGCAAGGAAAACCTGATAAGTCACAGGATTCTTCTTATCTGGTTGGCTGAATCAGATAAGTTTTTCAGAAGAGATAAGCTTTCCCCAATATTCCACGTTAATTGCTAAATGGGATACCATGCAGAAGGGACCGAGGGGCATCACGAATGTCCTCCCTCTGGAGACATTAATTGGAATCGCCTTGATCACAATCAAATAAATCTAAAGACAGGGCTATCTCTGGCCTGGCATTGTCAAGTGCAGACAGTTTGGGGCAAAGGGCAGAGGGGGAAGAGAGCTCAGAGAGATTTTCCTTTGAGGACAAATGGTCTCAGAGACCAAGAGCTCTAACTGGCCTGCACAGGGGATTTCTGAGTCTCCTTTACCCATAACCCCGGGTGAGAGGATGCTGGCCCTCCACGCATGAGTGTGTGCACGTGTGCCCAGCACGCTCTTTAGCTGACAAGTAACTCACTAAGACACAGCCAAGTCCATCCTGTGTGGAGCTGAGCTCTAAGGGGACATCAGGGGAGGAAGTGGGATCAGGATGACCTTGGGAGACACTTGGGCATGGGAGCATCGCAGGAGAATTCCTATTTTGCAGGATTCAAGCTCCATCCCCGAGACTCAAGGCCCCCAGAGCCAGCACTGAGCAAGAAAGGAGGGGAGTGGGCGAGGTACCTTCTTACAGTCCTCACACACGACACAGGCTGAGCCCAGCATCCCCAGCTGCTCTCCGCATAGTATGCAGCGGTTCACCCCATCCCCAGCTACGCTCTTCCTCATGTTCTCCAGTCGGTCCACCAGGCGTCTGGAAGCAGAGACAAGGCACTAAGGACCCCACAGGACCAGGGCCCACAAGATTACCCTTCAGTGCCATCTGCCCTCGAGCATCTGACCATGGCTGTGGACCCTTCTCCAGGGAAGCGCACATGTGTGCAAACTTCTAATACCTTCTCAGAACCACCGAAGACTGGCTCAAAGCATCACGCCCCCAATAGCTATTCTATTGACTTACCATGAAGAACCTGCGGTGGCCCTTTCCATCTCAAGTTGCCTTCTCCTGAGGAACTGCCTTCCGAGCTCCAGCCCTGTGACCTAACTATCCACGCGATGTCACCTGGATCTGACACTCATGCTTTCAAACCAAACTTGACATCGTGGAGGCTCTCCATCTCTGTCCCCATCCCTAGCAAGCCTGATCCCCATGCTCAGGAGATGATGTGGCCACAAGTTAACTAGCTCAAACCAGAAGGCTTGGGGTCTTCCTGGACCCCTGGCTCCCCCGACATTCAACGATCCAGTCCAATCACCAATTGTTATGTGTCCGCCTCTCTGACTCTTCTGGAATCTGTCCATTCCTCTCCGTCTTCACCTCAACCCAGCCACTGCCGTCTCTCTTCTGGATAACTGAGTAGCCTCCTCACAGGCTTCCTGTTGCCACCCATGTTCTTCTACAACCTGCTCTTCCCCCCACTGCCATGTTGACATTCCTCAAACAAGCTGGATCCAGTCACCCCCAGCCCCTGTGCCTTGCAGCTCCCGTGGCCCTATGTGGGAAACCTTGAACTTCTTCTCCTGGTCTTGCCTGACTGTCCCCATGCATCGGGTCTCCAAGCATTGTCACAGACCAGTAGCATGAGCGTCACCCAGGAACTTGTGTGATGTGTGCCTTCTTGGGTCCCAGCCCAGCTGAAGCCGAAATTCTAGAGGTGGGCCCAGCAATCTAGGTTTGCAAGCCCTCCGGGTGGCTTGGATGCAACTTCAGGGGTGACAGCAGCGTCTCTGGTTACACCAGCCTTCCTTCAGTTCCTGTTGTCCCCTGTGCTTTCACTCGCTCTGTCACCCTTGCCTGGAATGCACCCCCATGCACGTGCCTGTGACCTCTTTTTCTGTAACACACACCCCCTTGTGTTCTCTCTGCCTGGGTCCCCTCCTCCTTCAGGATCCATTACTCCCCTGAAGCCTCTTACCACCTACTGTCCTTGCAGGAAGAGTGACAAGTACTTCCCCGGGGCACCTGTCACATTTATAAGCAGCTACGAGATCATCTGCATTAAGCTCTTAGCTGATGGTGAAACCAACTCTGCTCACCCCCGGCCCGGGAGATCCTCTGGGCAGGGACCTGGTCTGCTCTGATCCCTGCTGTGCGCTCGAAGCCACTTCAGCACATCTGGGCACTTGTCTCAATGACTGGGTAGGTCACAGCAGCTGTCTCGTCATGCTTGTATCCCAGTAAAAGCGAGCGGAACTCCATGTCCAGTGGGGCATAATAACAGCTTACCCTAACTCAGCAGCACGTGCCCGGCACAGTATGAAGTGCTTTGCCCCCCTCCCCAGGAGTTCAGCACCAGTGTTATGCCAGTTTTCACATGAGGAAAGGGAGGCACAGGGATTTTAAGTGACTTGCCCAAGGCCACACAGTTGGGAACCGGCAGAGTCAAAACCAGAACCCGAGTCTTGGGTAGGTGACATTATTAGTTCTTGCTAAATGTAACGTGCACACTGGTGACAAGGGACCTTAGCGAATTGCAGATTCTGAACCACCAGGCTTCTGAGGTGCTGCTTTTCTAGAAAGCTCCAAAGTGCTGCTGCTGCTGGTCCCAGGGTCCCTGAGTAACAAGGCGACGTGGCTGTGTGAGATGACCTGGGCCTGGCCATCCTGTTTTGGCTTCAGGTTTGGGGGTTTTTAAGCGTCACCAAGCTGGAGCCCTCTCCTTGACCTGAGCACTTACTGTCTCAGTGCAGTCACAGGAGCTACTCTGTCCCGGAGGAGCCCTGGCTGCAGGTCCCAGAGCCTCCCCAGGGACCTAGGTCGGAAGAACTGGGCTGGAGGCAGGAGGCGCAGAGCTGAAGGCAGCAGCCCTCCCCAGCTCCTCCTCACCTCCCCGTCCTCGCTGGCTCCTCCCTGGCTGATGGGGAGTAAGTGAGACCAGGAGCAGCCCGAAGCCAATGGTCTCAGACCCCTGGACTAACTGGAGCACTAACTAGGACCAGGTTCAGAGAAAGGACTCCATGCTGATTTTCTTAACAAATCCTTCCAGCCACGTTAGGAGTCGAGGACTACGGACTCTTCTGGGACTTTAAGATTCTTAGCCTTACCATGGCGCAAAACAGCATGCCTTAGTAGGAGCTGCGCTTTGAAGTTTGAAGTCTGATCTGCTGCCAGCCCCACTGTCCCGAGGGGAAACGGCCCGTATCCACGGCATGGCTGTGTGGCTAAGCTGTGCCGAGCCGCAGGCCAGGTGTATTCGACGCATTCTCGACCTATAATCATTTCGACGGGGAGCACCCTGCTTTATTAAATGAGAAAACTGCAGCACAGAGGGGTTAAGCAATTTGCCCAAGTCACACAGCTAAGAAGTGGTAAAAGCCAAGATTCAGATCTAAGTGGTCTGACTCCCGAGTTCCCATTCGAACTACTTCTCCACACAGCTGCAGGCCAGGAATAGCCCTGGAGGTCCCCTCGAGCTGTCCCTTCTCTGCCCTGGTTGATAACTCTGCCTTTCCCATCCTAAGGGACCCTCAGTCATTGGCAAGTACCCAGTTGCATGTGCTCTGGGTTGTCATCCCAGCTGCTTCTGTCCCCTGCAGTTGGGACAAGAAACCCAACTGCTGCCTGTCCCTCCTTCTGCTTCCCTAAATAACCCTCTAGAAACCTGGATTTTCGTCCTGGGTTTCGCCTGCTAGGGTTTCAGCTTCCCCTGGGAAACAGGAGGCATCAGGCTACATCAGCGCTTCTCCAACGGTGCTTCTTGGCCCCCCAGGGGACCCATAGAGCCAGTTCAGGGCTGTTCCCAGTGATGGCCTGGTGGGAGATCGTGAGTGGCCACCATGATCCATGTCTCCCAAGCATGTCTGCATTGATCTGTCCTGCCTGTCTGCGCTCCTCAATTGGGTCTCCTTTGCAAAGCTGGTTCCAGGGTTTAAAAACAATTCGAAGAAGCCGGGAGTAGATAAATTTCAGGAAGCCTTTCAATGCCTCTGATTTACAAAATATTATGAGACCATGAATTAGGTTTGAAGGACAGGGATAAGTGCCCTGGTGACATTTATTTGTCCACCGTCTTGTCTCGATCACTCATCTCCGCCCACTTCCCTAGCAAGAAAATAGTTAGATCTTGCTCTTCTACCCTTGTTGGTGCCGAAGCACAGAGACAGGGCGAGGCTTGCCGGGATCACACAGCCAGACTGGGAGCTGGTTCTCCACTTCAGGAGACCATGGTCACGTTCCACAAAGCCCCCAGTGGCTCCCTGCTTCGTGGCCAGCTTTGCTGGGGCCTCGTGGGAAGATAACATGTAATAGAGGATCCCGTTCTAAACTGCAGAGCGCTTGCTTAGGGCAACCAAAGGGTCTCCTGACTCTTCCTGAACAACAAAGGCTATTGATTTACACGCCATTTGCAAACCGACATGAAACCCTGCCCCTTCCTGCCCAATCCTACAGGCCCCATTAGCACTCCAGGTCTGATCAGAGACTGCAGATGGCACCCGAAGCCCCCAGGTCTGAGACCATTATTCCGTTGTCCCAGCTCATGGCCTTGTTATTTATGGATTCAGGACCAATAAAGAGGATGGGCGGGAGGCACAGATGGCCAAAGATGGGGAGTCAGCGGGGAGCTTCTTGAAGCCTGCTTGTTGGGACCCCCTCTCTGCACCCTCAAATGCTAGGGACACACAGGCTAAGCCAAAGATTTTAAACTCAAAAATAAAACTGCAGGAAACTAAATCAAAGTGTGCCATAGAAGGACCATGAGGCTACCAAGGGGTTCCTATCCTGGAGATAGAGCAGTTTTGTCTGTCATCCCAGAAGAAGTATTTATTTTTATGTGTCCTGATGGGAGAGAGATGTATAAGAGATGCTGTTGACTCTCACTGGGTGTCAGTCACCAGCATCAGACAAGCACCAGTGCCCGGGGCTCTGGCTCAACCTTCTCAGAGAAGGATCTGGCTGGGCCCAGAAGCCAGTATGTTAAGCCCACACACAGTCCTGTTGGGACTCGAAAAATGTCGGGCACAGCTAGACCCATATGGGGACAGGGCTCCACACACAGAGGACGAGTCCTTGGGATTGGATAAGGCCTGAGAATCTGCACTGATCTCATTCTGCAGCCAGGGAATCACTGGCCTCACTTTGAGAAATGCTGTGCCGGGGATGGACGGGGGAGGCAGAGCACGGGGGTGAGCAGGGGACGCTGTCCTGATCATGCTACGTGGGAAAACTGAAAAAACCCAGGAGCAGAATCGTAATCAGGGCGCAAGAGGTCGCAGCACGCTCACCAGAAAGTCTCTACTGTGTGCACTCAACAAAAACGAAAACAAGGAAAGAGACGCATAAAATATTCATAGTGATCATCGTCAGGTGCTGGGATTATGCGTTTATTTCTTCTTCGATGCCTTTATCTCCTCTGCCCTTCACATTAAGAGCATCCAATGAGCTGGACTCGTCAACTTTCTTAACTCTCTTATAATCAAATGCATTACCTTGCATTAGAGAGGAAAGCACATTTGTGAAGGAAAATGTCTGCAGAACAAGTGTTATAAGATGTGGGTCTGATCCTTCGTCTCAGCCAGGGACCTTGGAAGAACTTGGTTCCCTGGGTCCCCTTTTCCCAGATTGAGCCAAGAAGCTTAGGTGAGATGCACCTAGGCTTCCTCCAGAGATGTAAGTCAGGGCTTTCCAGATCCTGGGGCTGAAACATCAAAATTTTCTCTTCTTTTTTGAAACGGAAGGACCCCCAATCATAAGGAGACCAGTCCCTGCAGACAGACTGGTTTTATTTGCCTGGGCAAATGTTAAGTGCCAATGAG